GGCACTAAAATCTTCCGTACTTTTGCACAATTCAAAAAATGCAGTGAGTGTAGTTTTAGGTGGAATTGTACCACGATCAATCACTGTCTCGTTCGTGAAAAATACACGCTGACCGTTTTCAAGATGGACGGCTAACTGAACAACTGCTGGATTCCGTTCATGAATTAGAAAACAGAAGACACGCCAAGCAGCTTCATTGGAGCTGATGTACCGACCAATTTGGTAGAGCGTAATTTCACCGTTTTTGTTCATTACATTATTATTTTCTACTCTAAACACAGCCATATCACTGCCTTTATGGACATACTTGCAAATATATTTGATGCTCTTCACAGAACTGCAAAACTCAACATTAATATGAGCATTGTATGTCTTGCTTAGCAGAGGCGAATACGGCACCACTCAACGATTGTCAATGTCAATGTCTGTGTTGCTGATATTTTTAACAAATGATTGTCCGCCATTATCGGGATTTCTTCGACGATATATTGGATATCCGTCTGTATTTGTTATCGTATCATTAGTGAAATCTTTAGGGAAATTTTTAGTACATTTTCCATCTACCATGCAAGGCGAAGACGAAGAAACGAAGTGGATGTAAATGCTCGATGTAACTGTTGATGTAGTTACATAAAATATTAAAAAAAAATTTTTCTTTTTCAAAAATATAAACAAAATTTTGTCAAAAAAATAAAAAAATTTTTGTTGAAGCAATAAAGATATTTTTGCTGGGTAGGGACACCCTAATCACTTTAGCGGTATGAAAAATAGATAGTAGCCGATTCTCAGACCTACTGAATACGCATATAAAATTTGGTAAAAATCGGTGAAGCCGTTTCGGAGGAGTACGGTAAACCATCCAGTTTGTTTGTGCTCGCTAAAGATGGGCTAACAAAAAATATTGTTCACGCTATAGCAATTAAAGATTGATGTTTGTTAGTGTTACTATCATAATTAATATGTGATATGTAATTTTAAGAAATAAATAATAACTTTAAAATAATATTGTTTGGCGTTTGTTATTTTTATATTCCCTTATCGTATAAAGCGCTCCATGCCTATTTCACGTATATACCACATACTTACACACTTATAATAAGTAAGTTACTTTTTGTCTACACTAGAATTTATCTAGAAACTAGAAATAATTTATAAGGCAAAACAACGTTTGCCGGCTTATCTAGTATTATATAATATTGTAAATTATATAATGTTGTTACAAGCTGAGCGCTCTTATGGCGTTTACTTTTAATCACTATTGCTGTACAAAAGAACAAATCAAATAAACGAACATTCGTTTGCATGTTATTAACGTACAAATGTATAATAAAATTGCGCGGACGTTCTATTGCGTTAAGTAGTCGTCCAGATCACCTAGCAAATGTAAACGAACGAACGATCAAACTCTATTTTCTTGCCAAACACAAATTCTGACGAATGCTAACAATAACTACAAATCGATTCGTACGCGGTTGCTTCGTCGTACACATTACTTGCAAATGTTCGTTCGTTTGCAAGCGTTCGCTTTTATGTGGATTAACCTTTAATAGTCTGATGTTATTGTTTTTCCTATTTTCAAATAGTCTATGAAATCTATTCGACTTGAATCACAAAATACGGAAGTCAAAACTTTTTCAGCCGATTGTTGAGTTCGTGGTCGTTTGGGAGCACTACCCCCGATGGTGTGCCGTTCTCTGGCTTGTTGTTTTTCCTCAGATGTGAAGTAATAGATCTACGTTTTAGTAATTGTCTCTATTCGATGCTCACAGTCAGCTAGATTGAGCATAAACTTTTTAAAACAATGCTTTGAAAGACAAAGTCGTTATCGTTTTTGATCAATTGTGAGCAAACGTGACACCCATCTTGCCGAAAGCTTATTCATACCCTAATATTCGTGTAAATATTCGACACACGTTGATATGATAATTTTCAAGCAGTTTTATTTTTGGATCATCTAATACAATATCGTGGATTTTTTCAATGTTTTTTTTCAGTTGTGACCTCTTTTGGATGACTTCTAGAATTTACTAGATGTTTAGTTGGATAATAAGAATTTTGAAGAATACTGCTTAGCATACTTTTAATGTATATGTTTAAAATTTGTTCCTGCTTTTAGATTTCAAAATATTCATAATTTTTAATTGTTGGAAAATTGTCTTTGGTAAAATATGTCATTTAAATAAAGTTTAAAAGTCTAGCTCTGACGCCATTTGCTTTACATGCGTTGCAACATAACAGGTGTAGTAAACAAATTCATTATTTTTGCATGAAATTGTATGCTTATTTACCATAGTTAGAAAGCTCCGATTTAAGTTAAATATGTGCCGTTTGGTTCAATAACTTGTTGCCATTTTTAAAGTAATTTCATAATGCCTCTCTCATAGAAGTCCCTATTTAAGCAAATTTTACGCCACAAAAATCGTTCGCCATTGTTTCTAAAAAAAACAATCCGCTATATATTCTATTTCTATACCATGGTTTTGCACATGGTGCTTTTTTACGTTTCTGCTGTTGTTGATATTTCTATATATATATATATATAACATAATTAAAGTTTTTTTTTGATTTTCTTCCTCTGTGCTTCTCGCAAAATTTTAAAATTTAACTAAAATAGTATTAAAATTTTACAACGCTTTTCAAAATCTGCATTTAACATGGATACATGTTTTCTCTATCATAAGGCCGAGTAGGGTCTGCAGAGGAGGAGGAGGGTAATATCAAATTGTAATGAACTTATGAGATTCTTGTGAATAGCGACCAAAAGAATAGTGACCAAATAATTTTAATAAGTGTTTATTTTTTTATAGGCTAATTGGTCAAAACTTTTTTATTATTGTTGTTAAAAATAAAAACAAAAATTAAGAATTCACAATTTGTTTTTTCAATAATTTTTATTTTTCTTCGATATTTCGACTTTAGTCTAAAGTCATCATCAGGAAACTAAAACATTATATTCAAATACTATACCACTTATAATACATAATGGTAGACAAAAGGATAAATGTGTGTGTAAATATATATATATACATATTTATATATATGTAAATATATGTAAGGAAAAGTACAATGTTTTATTATATAATACTAATGTTTAATACTAAGTTATTAATCCTGTACTTGTTTATTGATGTATAATACTTTTATACATCTGGGCACAGTTGTCAACATCAGTTTTAAAATTGAGCCTTATGTCAGGTGGAATTTTTAGAATTGCGAGCATCTCCAAGAAGTATCTTTTGCGATGATTATTTTCTTGATGCAAAATTTTTATATTTTCTAAATCTGGCTCATGGTGTGTGGAAATACAATGTGAAACAAGGGCTGTTTTGGCTTCCACACCGACTTTATTTTTTATGCTGTGTTTATGTCCAGCCGTTCTTGTTTTTAATTTATTTTTGGTCGTTCCAACATATACTTGATCACAGACGTCATACCCATCACCTTTGCAATTAATTTGGTATACAACGTTCGATTTGTCCAAGTTATTTATTTTTGTTTTTAAGTTGGAATACAGTGCGTTTATTGTATTTCCAGATCTTAGTGTGATATTATAGTTTGATTTGTCATGAATATTAGATGTTAGTATTTGGTTAGAGAGTTTAGGAATATGTATAATGCTTTTATATGTTCTGTTATCCTTATTTCTAGTGTCATTCTGACAGATGTTGTCAGATGTTATTGCATAAATAGAATGATATATTTTTAAAGAATTGGTTATGTTATTCCGTCAATATCCGCAGAGTAGAATTGAGTAATTGAAATAATGTTTTATTTGAGTAGCAGGATTTATTATTTCATTTTTTTTAATTCTAAAAATTTGGTATTGAAATTTGGTTTATTTGCTTAAGAACACCAGTTTTAAACCTACAACATTAGAAATATCTTTGGAATATCATCCTGTCGGAAAACTTCAAGAATTTAATGGAGTTACCATTAAGTTAAGTTTACTTAAATTTGACAAAATTTTTTTTTGAGTAAGATAATGGATTAATTAATATTGTTGTTGTTGTTTTTCGAGTAAGATAATGGATTAATTAATTTTGTTAACTCATCATCATGCCTCACACACTGTTATTTTAAAGAATTGTATAAACACGCACACTATTTACTTATAGAAATTCTAGTCTTTACAGAATTATTGCCACAGAACAACCTGCGCTGTAACACGATCTTTGGCTATCACACAAATGTTCAGCGGTATAATAAAAAACATGCTTCTCTTAATAATTGTATCTAATTAGTTCCATAAGTAATAATAAGTAAGATCTGAACTGAAGTGGTTACTTAGAGCAACTTAGAGCGAAATTATTTAAAAAAAAAAAATTAATTTCAAATTCACTAAGTTTCATGTAGTCGGTCTATAACGGTGAAATAATCGTTTTATTTAATCGTTTTTAGAAAAGACTTCGTAATGCACCACACCACGATAATCTTAGAAAACGAATAACACTTTTATGCGGTCTTATTTATCTCGGCTCATTTTTTGCACGGTATTAGATAACCTAGTAGTCTGTTGTTTTATGTATTTTATCCTTTCATGATAATCAGAAAGCATATTTGCAAATTTTTACGCGACTCAAAATTTAAAAAAAAAAATAAATGTTTTTGACATCAAACAACATTTCACATTTTTCATGTCGAAAATGCATTTCAAAATGCGGACTGATGGAAATGAAATGTTAATAATATCAGCGAGAACATTATGACAAATTGATTATTTAAACACTAAGTCTTTAATTTCTTTGGCATACAAAAGGTGTTCTGTAACATTTCTTATGGTTCACCAACTTTCGCTTAGCTTATAATCTGTATAAGGAATCTGATACATTTCTATTATATGCCAAAATATGTACCTATATTTGAAGGTTTTCTAAGTATTAACAAATTTTTCTGACGTCTTAAAATAAATTTATATATTTTATAAACTGACTAATGTGAAAACTCAAAATAATTATTTTTATGGGTATAATAGTAATAAAAAAAATGTTATATTTACTTACTCTCCGTAATAAGTTATAAGTTCTTACAGCGTAAGTACATCCAACTTCGTTACATTGATGTAGCTGAAATAAACAAATGTACAAACTTAGAGCTGGAAAATAAGAGTTTTACTTAATATTATATTAATGTTATAAAAACGACTTTTTAAAACAATACTATTCACATTCTTGATCTTTTCGAATTACTCAGCTATAATTTTAAGAGATAAGAATTTGAAGTATACAACTAAACTTCATTACGTCACTATTCCTTATAAAGGTTCATAACACATAACTGATTTATAAAACCAGATATCAAGAACATAATAACACATTTAACACTTTCATTATGCTGTCATAATTTCTTAATTTAAGCTTCCTAAAAAAAATACTTGCACATATGTCGATTAGCTCAAAAACTAAGAATAGTTTAGAGACGTCTCACTTAAATTATTCAGCACGTGACTATACCCAGCAATTTGATCACTTGCCAAACAAGTTCTTTCTTCCTATGAAAAGATAGGTAAGGTTCGTAAGGTACTGTCTTTGAGAATCAAATTTCTATAAAAGTATATTAATGAAAAGGATGATTTATTAGGAGTGCCATAGTCTACGTTTCAGAATCAGTAACGACATAATACTGCTCGCCTCTTTCGTTCACGTTGAAGTCACACCAAATTTTTGCAAAATACGGATTGTAATCTTTACGATTTATTGCAAAAAAATGACTTACAACTTTTAAGTAAAAATATAAGACCATACACAAAATATACAGAGGCTCACAGTTTATTTCGTGCAAGAAATATTTTTGTAGATTTAGTCTGAAAATCCAAAATTATATTTAAAACAAAAAATTTTAAAAATAAAACTTTGAAAAAAGTTTTGTATATACATTGTAGATTACCAACGCTTGCCGGTGACATACACCCCCATATCATCACATGTTTGCCGCCGTGTGTAACTGTGCCACGTAAATTTTCTTTTCAAAGCTCAGTACGCCACTTGATTTCCCATCTGAAGCAGAGATTAAATTTACTCTCATCGGCAAAAAGTACTAAGTTCCAGAAAAAACTTGTACAAATGGTGTTTGGCGAACTGCAAGCGAATTTTACGAATTTTGTCATTTATAAATGGCTTGTTCCAGGCAGTTCGATCGTTATAATAAGCATTTCTTAAAACTCTTAGCATAGTTTCTGGATGACATTTCTTTCCAATAAACATTTCAACATTCTTGGTGATAGACGGGGCACTTAATGTAGGATTTTTTTTAAATTAATTAATTAATTAATTAATTAATTTTTAAATTTAAATTAATTTTCCAGACTGATAATGTTTAAAAACTAATTGGCGCTTTTTAATTGAAGTGCGTGGACCCATCTTATTAAACAAACGCGATCGAAAATAAGCACGAAATATGCTGTGAGGTCAGAATTTCATGAATGTTGGTTTTTATTCACTTGACTTCTTGAATACTGATATTTTTGATACATTTTCTTTTGTTCTATAATAAAAACTAAACATTCTCTAAAATTTGCATATTTCAAAATTTTTTGTTTTGAATAATGTTTTGAAATCTCACGACTAAATCTACAAAAATATTGCTTGTACGAAGCTGTGAACCACTGTAAATTGGCAACCGGTATTGTTCCAGATCAAATTTAATATTTTACTAGCATAATTTTGACAATTAGTTTTGGGCCAAAGAACGGTTGTGCCAAACCGTCTTAGGCACCGTTTAATTTATTTATCGCCAATATAAGACATCAAGTAATCTTTAAAATTAAGGGTATGAATTATTTAAATACAATATGTTGGTGAAGCTGTTATTAAGTCCACAGGATTGGTGTGACTTTTTAAATTATGTTTGTGTCCAGCGATTCAGTTCATTTTTAGTTGTACTAATATATACTCGTACTTGTTAACATACGTTGACTCCTTTACCTCCATCAAGGATTTTATATTTCAAATCATGATCGTCCAATTTGTATATTGGTCTCTTTGTTTTATTAAATAGATGAATCCTATTTTATGAGTAATTTAAAACATAAAATATTAAATGTATAAATTTAGTTTTTGTTTTAAATTTGGAGAATGAACCGTTTTTCTTACATGAGTTTGTCGCAAAAAAAAACTCATATGAAATAGGTGTTTTTGCCCTCAAAAAAAATTTACCATTCTGGCAGATTTTAATATTTGCAAAACTGAAAATAAATTACATTAAGTTACGATTCTCAAAAAACAGGCCAAAAGTCAAAAAAAAAGTTTTAAGTTAGGGATTTTTTTATGTGGTTGACTTTAAGAAATGATCAGGGATAATAAATAGCCTAGTTTTCTTTTCCTTTTACTTCTGTCACTATAGCAGTCGCAATATGACGTTTGTTTAAGTAGCATCTACAGTGTTGTCAACCAAGTAATTGATGCGCTTATTAAATGTTGATTATAAATTTTTAAATTAAAAAAAAAGGTTGTGCGTTTTTGGCCCCTTTTTTGTTAATGTTTTTGTAAAGTGTATTACTATAAAATGTATGCAAAATACAACCATGAAATGCAATGAATCTAAATTAAGTACTTTTGAAAACGGCTGTTATATATCCCTGTGAAAATAAATTAGCATTTACTTCATTAAAATTTCGAATATATTTGTATTTCGATGTACAGTGACGAACATAATTATTAACACAGCAAGCATATTGAGATTTAGCACTGTTTTCACCCCGATAGTGACTTAATTTTTAATTAACAATCATTTTTTTTTCGATAAAATGTTTAACGCGGAATAAAATTCATTTTATTTCAATATATTATTTCTTATATTTAATTTCTTAAAATTAAAACACCAAAAAAAGTACAAAATTAGACTGAAAATAATTGTGGACACATTTAGATTCTAATGAACAATTTTAACATAATTTGATCCATTTGACACCTTTTTCCTTGAAAAAAGCTATTATATCTACATGATAAATGACGTGATATTTTAATTTTTATCTAAAAACGTCATAATACCTAAAATATTAACAAGCAATCCATTTTGAACAAAATGAGAAATTAACATTAAAAAACCGCTGAATCTCAGCAGAAAATAATTCTATATTTACAAAATCAAAGTAAATTTTATGCTAATATTTAGGAAATGATGAGAAATTAGGGAAAACACATAGACCGACCTAAAGCTCTGAGTGGTTAACATCCACAAAAAATAAAATAGGTGAATATTTGTGTTCCGAAAAGACAGAAAATTTGACAATAACTATCGATGGACAAAAATATAATTGCGAAATGCTAGTGGTCGAAGATAATACCATGTCATATGACGTTATAATCGGTATTGATGTATTGTCCAAATGTCGCGTTGTAATTGAAAATGGAAACTGTCAAGTATGAGTGCAACGGGAATTTATCGGTAACAATGAAAATGGAGATCGCGGTTACGTATACAACGTAGATAACAAAAAAAACAGCGTGTCGTGGAACGAATTGTTGATGATTTATATTCAACATTTAGAAGAGTTTTTGAAAATTATTCGTAATGAAGGCTTGACATCACACCTCTTGAAATGTTTTTTTATGTATTGTTTTCGGATCATGAAGTCGATGCGAATGGTATAAAACCTGGTCGTTTCTGGGGAGTTACAGGTTACTTCGGAAATTTGTACAAAATTATGCGCAAATTGGCCGTCTGTTGACGCTGTTAACGAGGAAGAATATAGCTGTTAAATGGTGATCGGAGTGTGAAAGAGCTTTCCTCAAAGTAATTGAATTGTTAGCTAATAAGCCACTTTGGGAATATATGACATTAGTAAAGAACAAGAACTTTATACTGATGCAAGTAGTGTTGGCCTTGCAGCAATATTAATGCAACGTTAAGATAACGGAATATCAAAGCTCATAGCAAATTTAAGTCGGTTATGTACAGATGTTGAAAGTAAATACCATGGATATGAATTAGAAGTTTTAGCGGTAGTCGAAGCATGTCAACGCTTTCGAATGTATCTTTTGGACAAACTTTTTAAAATATTTACGGATTGTTCAGCTATTTCAAGTATTAAAACAGTAATATCAATAATTCCACAAGTTTCACGATGACTATTAAAATTGCTGGAATATGTTTACACATCAAGCCATCGCCCAGGTAAATAATGGCTCACGTTTGTAATGAACCTTTCTTTTGGTTCGTATAAAGCTGGGGTTGAACTCAGCCGTCCCCAAGGTCCACACAAGAAATTTATTTAATGAAACCCTGTCACTTCTGATTGCTCCTAACTTCTTAGCTGCAAATAACTTGGATCGAATATCACAGACGCAATGGAATCACTGACAGAAATAGACACGATATAATACCAGTACACGTGACTATTAAAGCTACGTGAGTGGTATTACAGGTCGCCGATCACACGCCCTTCCCTGTTCACTGTTAAAGCGCCCAGGGGCCGGAGACGTTAGGTTACTATTAAAGCTACCTATCGCTTCCGACACTATGGTATAGACTCACGTGACTGTTAAAGCTACGTGAGTTATACCCCGTACAACCGAGATTCAGATACTATTGAAGCCCTGAATCCTGCTTACCTATATCTACCAGTCGTGCCGCTGTATATATTAACAATTCTTTAATTTACTTCTTTAATAAATCAACAACCTCAGTTCTTTGTGTATATTTTTTAGTTTTAAAATAAAATTTAAATTTTCACAGATTAGTAGTATTTTGCTATAAGTTATTTATTAACAATTCTTTAGTTTAATTTCTTAGTAAATCAACAACATTAGTTCTTTGCGTATATTTCTTAGTTTTAAAATAAAATTTAAATTCTCACAGATTTGTAGCAATTTACTATAAATTATATATTAACAATTCTTTAATTTAATTCTTTAATAAATCAACAACATTAGTTCTTTGCGTATATTTCTTAGTTTTAAAATAAAATTTAAATTCTCACAGATTTGTAGCAATTTACTATAAATTATATATTAACAATTCTTTAATTTAATTCTTTAATAAATCAACAACATTAGTTCTTTGCGTATATTTCTTAGTTTTAAAATAAAATTTAAATTCTCACCAATTAGTAGCAATTTACTATAAA